TTATCACATTTGTCAGACATGGTGACTTTTAATTGTGCCTCATAAAATACCATTTTGGTTTATTAAAAGATGTTTGGAACTAGATAATGTATTAATAGCAACATTCTAACCATTAATTCTTTAAATATATAATTGTTCGTGGACACAACATAAAGAACACATGTTGCCACATATCACAGTACAAGCTGGCTTGTACTAGGCAAATTAACCAGCCCCTAGTATTAGGCAAATTAACCAGGTTGACTAGCAGGGTCTTCGTCCAATCACGTCTTTCCTAAGGCTGCAGGCATATCACTGGTACAAGATTTGGGGGGCATAAAGATCAGAGCAATAGGCTATCCAGACTGGGCTTTTCAAATGCCCTTTATGAGGAAGAGCTGGAGTATAAATGATATCTGTTGCCACATGAACATTGGGTGAGTGGTCTCTGTTGCCAACCCACTCCCCCACTCACTCACATGTGGTGACTCCGACATGATCCGAGTCAGCACACGGAGCAAGGGAAACAAACGGTGTAACAGATGGGACATCAGTTCAACAGCTGGGAATATGGTGTCAGAACCAGGATAAATGGTGTGGAGACAGGAATTCAGCATTAGAACTGGGAATTCAGTGTCAGAACTGGGACAAACAGTGTAGAGCTGGGAATTCAGTGTCAGAACTGGAACAAACAGCGTAATAGCCAGGACTTCAGCATAATAGCTGAGACTTTGGTGTCAGAACTGGGACTTTGGTGTTAGAGCCAGAATACATGGCATCAGAGCCAGAAATGATGGGTAAATAATGGTATTGCTGTCATGGTTTGAGCCTGGCACAGAGCCAGTGCCCCCATGAAAATGCCCTCACCCTGGTGTCTGCTGTGAGATGTGACCAGGAATAAGCAAAACAGGCTCCAGCTTAAACATAAAGAACACTTTATTACCTAAACTACAGGAAAATAGGGAAAAACTATAAGGAAAAGAAAAAAAAAAATTGAAAACCTTACAAAAAACCACTTTCCTCCTCCCCACTACCTGACTTTCCCAATCCGATACATTCTCCCAAATCACCAACTGCCCAGCCTGGCACCACACTTTAGTATACTCAAACTTCAGTTCATGAAGAGGAGAGGAGTCCTTCTTGTTCCATAGGCTTCCCCTGGAAACACACTGAAACCTCGTGTGCTTCCCTGTCACTTCGGCACCGCCCGGAAAAAAGTCCTTTTGCCGCTTGTGACATCTTCCTTCCATGCCCAGTGCTCTCACCACCGTGCATGGCCAGAGCTGCTTTTAGGGTTGTCTTTCAAGGATGCCTTGTCTCACTCCAAAAAGCCACAGTCTCTGCTTTGGGACATCTGTCCCCCCCATATTTTTCCAACCCCCTGGGGCCGAGGGGTCCTCACGATGAACCCTCCTGGTTCTGAGCCACTGCTTCCCCCTAAGTGCAGTCTCTGTGTCACAGGAACAAACTGAGTCCATGGCCACAAGAAAAGTCCAGCCAAAAGGCCACTCCAAATCATCTCTCCCCATTCAATCATCTCCACGTTCTTCGGGCCAGGTCCTTGTCTCATCTCATCTCTTATCTCCCTTCTTATTCAGCTTCGAGGAGGATTAGCATTTTTGCAAGGCCCCAATCATGAAAGAAAGGGGTTAAAACTTTCAGTCTCTGTCTGTCCCGGAGCTGCGGCACTCCCACACACGCTGCCGCTCCGGCCGGGCACTCTTCCCCCCCCTTCCCTCCTGGGCCGGCTGCTATCACATTCGGTGTCGCTGGCTCTCTCTCTCCCTCCTGCGGGGGGGGGATGGCTGCCCGAGGGCTGACTCCCTGGGATCTTCCACCCTTCCATCCTCGAGGGCCTCCTCACCTCCCATCTCTGTCCAGGCCCAGGGCCTACCACGTGGCTGCCCCTCCCCCGCCCAGCAGCAGCGGCTAGACGGGGGGGAGATCTGACCTCTTCGCTTCCACGTCCCAAGAGAGCCTTCCAGGGCCAGAGCCCTGCTTTTTAACCCCTGTGTATTCTCGGAGGTGTGTCCAAACCCCACTGGCTACACCAGGTGTCAGTATCAAACTCTCGAACATCCATTGGTTTGACCACAGCATCCCAGAATTCCCACTTCTTCCTGGTCAAACCACCACAATTGCAGTGGAACTACTGTGGGCAGTGGAAACCTGCAGTGAAATTCCCCTGAGCTGAAAGCAGAGAGTGCTGCGGAGTTTCCAACCCTGTTTTTGCTGATTGTAATCGCCATCAGGACTATGGGGACATGGACTTCAGCACCAGAAGACCCCATTCTTAGGTATGGACTTCCTTTCTTAATAAAAGAGTGATTCATTACGATGACTGGGCTCTGCAAGCCCTGCTCACATGTTGCAAGAGCCATGAAATTGATGTGTCCGAAGGAACATCATTACACTTATTGATTTGGCATTGGGCTGGACGATGTATATGTGCAGCAGCTTCCACTGGCAATGACACAGCCATCGATGTTATAAAGCCATGGAGAATCGTCCTGGATTTGTTAAAACAGATGAATTATGGGAGCAAAAGAGGATGGGCAGAGCAGCCATAGAGGGCCATGAAACCTCCATGCAGAGCTAGGAAGCCGCACTGGGCAGGGATGATATGCCGACTCGGCATTCTCCCACCGTACAGAGCCACAGGGCCAGCACACACCAGAACACTCTTCTTGCAGGACATTCCCCCGCAGAGCAAGGTGGCAGTGAAACACTGCATTGCCAAGCTGCACTGGGTGGCAGCACAGCCACTTCACTGTGCCCCCCTGCACTGGTGCTGGCTGGCCTTGGCCACTGTGAAAACGCTCCCTACTGAACTGCGGCTGACCACTGCAGGGCAATCATGGGGACCAGCACAGCCCCAGCGAGTGGGGGAATCCCAGCAAACAGAGACAATCCGAGGACTGCCTAAGACACAGCTACCAACAATGCCCAGGGAGACAGCAGAACAGATTACACAATCCAGCATGTGGAGTCATGGTGACCACCACGGCTCCAATGATCTGTGCAGCTCTGGCAGCGCTGAGATTCTCTGTGCCCACTCCAAACTACTGTGCAAAGATGAGTCACTATCCAGCTGCCACGGCCTATCGTATCACCAATCCAAGTGGGTACACCATGCCACCCTGCTCCGGAGGACCAGACCATGTGGCAGCCACTCCAATCCCTCCCTGCACCACCAAGCTAGGTGAGAATCCCACAGCCATGGTGCCACACCATGTGGGCACTGGGACTGCTCCCTCACCTTCCTCGTCAGGGCTTCCCACACTTCCCATCGCCATGGAAATGCCAAGACCACCTCCTCCTAAGGCTGGGCAGCCCAGCCCCACAGATATACTCCCAGCTCAGAGGAGCTTAGCCACACATGTGCCAGGAGATGTACCTACATCCCTGCTCCAGCCTACTTCAGGGAGCAGAGCCCTGCCCCCAGTCCAACCTCCATGGAATACAGACATATTTTTGCACTAGATATTAATAAAAGCTTGTTTTTAAAATATATACACAGAAAACATCTCCCAACCAAGGTTATTGCCCTGATCAAGCCATGAACCTGACTGGTAGACAAAAATATATTAGTAAACCTAGATAACTCTATGCAACCTTTGCAAAAGCTAACCCCTTTTTCCTTTGAGATAAACAAGAAAGCCTCATCTGGAAAAGGTTCCTTCAGGTCCTCATAGTGAAAAAAACCCCTCAGCAACACCTTAAATAATAGTACCTTATTAATGCTGTTCAAAATCCATGTTTTATTCCTATTTTTAGTTATTAATACAAAGAAAAAGGGAAAAATGGTAGGGGTGAAGGTACACCCTCCTTTAAGTCTTAGGGAATATAATGTTCTCATGTCTTTCAATCAATGATATAACAATACAATAATCCTATGATGTTCAGCTCCCCAAACCCAAGGTAAATACATTTCAATGGACAATGGGACACATTAGATACCTACTAGATGTGTCTGGCTTACACTATGTCCTGTTCGGAACCACAAACAGCATCTGCCTGATAACTCCTCAACAGACATCACAGAGAACAATGATGACCTACCTCATGGAAATCTGGGACTCTTGAAGTGACAGTTCATATAAGGACTTGATTTGTTTATGAATTATTTTTCCTGTTTACAAACTGGTTTTCTGTTTACAGATATTTTTTCTAGTAGTTGCGTTTTTCTTTAACAGTTTTAAAAGTTAAGTAGTTTCTCGGTTTTTAGCAATAAGTTGTAACTTGTAACCTCTAAGCATCAAGTCTGTGACACGTTAGCCTCAGTTCTTGCCTAAGAGATCCTAGACATGAATGCTGCAGCTCCAGTGATACACTCTCGTGCAAATTAAACCCATGCTGCCCTTCTGTCACCCTGTTTGCAAAGGGTCCTTGCAAATGGGTGACAGAGAGCAGGTTGCAATTTTTATAAGGACAGAATGGTGAGATGTTGCCACATATCACAGAGCAAGCTAGTTTGTACTAGGCAAATTACCCAGCCCCTGGGCTGACTGACAGGGGCTTCGCCCAATCACGTCTTTCCTAAGGCTGTGGGCATATTGCTGGTCCAAGACTTGAGGGGCATGAAGATCAGACCAGCAGGCTATCCAGACAGGGTTTTTCAAATGCTCTTTATAAGGAAAAGTTGGAGAATAAACACTCTCTGCAGCCACATGAACTTCAGGTGAGTGGTCTCTGTCTCCACCCACTCCCACGCGCACTAGCAAACACAGGCATGAAAAGAATCACCTTTAATGTTATGAAGTCAAGCACCTAAAAATCTGGAAAGAGATACAGCTAAACAATTTCTGTAAACTACATTTTCCCTTTTTCAAGGCAGATGGAAAGGAACAGGTAAATAGGAGGGAACTAGGGCAGTGCTTAAGGTTGTAGTTTACAGCTTCCAAATAATGCATGGTTTATTTGTTGTATAGAGCACTGACCTGTTACTGGATGAAAGAATAATGTGTGTCAAGTAATTTAATTTTGAAATGGGATGTTTACCTTGTTCCTTGCAGAATGTGAAAGGTGAATACTGAGTGGGAAGGTGCAGGACAAGGCAGATTTGCCCTCAGCCAGCTGGATTCTGCACAGGAAATGGGCTCCTTGCCGGGCCTTCTCTGGTGAGCTCCTCAACAATGGTGAGATCAGTGACTCGACCCAAAATTTCTCATAAGCTTTTTGCTAAACCACTTTCACTTTCTGGACACTCGTAACCATAACACAAACCAGGGCCATGTTTGCTTTAAAAATACTGAGTTTCTAATGAGTGGTCCCTTGGGGTGAGAATGGTTGTATGGGCCTCAGATGATTCCCATTCTTAAGACTGCTGTCATAAAGGTACAGTAAATTTGAGGAGCAATTGGAAAAGAAAGCTCAAGTGCAGTAGGCATGGAATATGTTTTTCCAGTCTAGGAACAGCTGCAGTACTTAATATAGTGCTGCCTTTCCCCTCATTTTCTTATCAGCTTCTTATTTTCCATATGCTAAAAACTGTGTCATCTCATCCTTGTGGAATTCATCATGCAATGATCTTTTCTGCTTCATTGCAAAGTCAGCTAAGTCAAATTAAACAGCCTTTATGTTAAAGAGCCACAAATTAACTCACATGACTTTGCACTGAAGCTGGTGAAGAGCAATTGTGTAAAAGAGTACTCTTTGCAAAAATTATTTTGGATGGTTATCTTCAATTCTACTGTGAAAAGCACATAGAAGAAACTAAGACTTCCAGAGCAAGATTTAAAATGTACAGAATTAGTAAGCAAAACAAACAAAAAATTGACTGAATTCCTCATTAGTTAAATCCAGCTAAATCTCTGTAAAGGATGTCAAGGATGAAGTAGACTCAGATGAGACTCAGGATGGCCCAGTTGTATTGATCAGGACTGTTCCACAAATCACCTGTGTTAGGGGACTGAACTGGTGTTTGTAATCTCAGTCCTGGTCTTTCAAGAAGGGTTTAGGTTGCACCTTTATGATATTTTAAAACAGCCAATAACCTACGCCATGAAGTTGATACTTTTTATAAAAGCAACATTAAAATTTTGGGTGTTCAGTCTTCAAGAAGTATCATCTGTCCCTTAGCTTCTTGGTTAACACAGTGTGCTAATGTGTCTGGTGCCAAGGAGGGGTATTATTCTAGGCTTGGGTGTATCCAATTTGTTAAATTGGAAATTTGTTAAAGTTTTTTTATATGTGGAGCTCTGAGGTGAAAGCCTCTTCTCTTCCAGTGAAAACCCTGTGGTCTCTTGACAGGTAAATGTCAAAATCTCTCTTGTTACTTAAGCTGGGCAAATTAATGGGGTTCACAAACATCCATAACAGCAGTCAGGCAGCAGTCAACTCTCTTGTTAGCAAATTTGTCAGGAGGATCAAAGCTTAAACCAGTACAGGCATTCCCTGCTTCTGCAGAGCACTGGTGTCTAGACTGGGTTTGAACTGTGTAGGGTGTTTGCAATACTGCTGGAAACCGTGTACATAAAGGGAGATTTTAATTTTGGTATTCTCTGTTTAAAACTGCTTCTTTCTTACATTACAAAGAGACCTCTATGCAATAATCATTCTAATACATTGAGAAATAGATCAAAGCACATTCCTGTTGCAGTGAAAAATCAACACACGCATTTCACATTTTTGTTGGAAAGCATTGTCCACAATGAGTACAATATTAGTCACTTCCGTGTGCAGTTCCTAAACAGGGTTTGACAGGGCAGGTGTTGGTGTTTCAAGGTGATGCTTCAGTGATAAGTTTTTCATCATGTTCTGCTGTACAAAGTTCATTTCTTTTCCTTGTCCTCCTCTTTTTTTTTTTTTTTTTTCCTTCTTGCCCCTTGCCCCCATGCCATCAGTTTATGTTTAAGATTTAATCTCAGCCAGCCGGTGGGTATTAATATTTTGTTAATGTTTTTAGCAAGTACAACCCTCCCAAACTCACATGAACTTAAGCCAGGTTCAAGTACAAATAAATATAATGCACAGAGTTGAATCATTTTGCAGTAGGTGCATAAAGGCATGGCACAATGTTGGTAATTTATGGGAAGTGCTCAAGAACTGTCTTGGAGCATGGCAGCCCTACCTGCTTTCCTTGGGGCCTGGTGTCTTGGTTCATTTTTACTGGCTCTCACACAGGGGATTAGATGTTCACTCAGAAAATGCTTTTATTCCCTTGTTAAACAGTAGTAATAAACTCAACTATGCAGTAGTAATATACTCAACTATGAAAATCACTTTTGAGCCTGAAACAAGAGAACACTTTTAGCCTTTCAGATGCTGTTGCATTTGAAAAATATTCATTTTGATACAGCAATAGGCAGCTGTATTTTGGAGGGGGTTTTGTAGGCTTTTTAAACAGCATGGAATGAAAAAAGGATGTATGGTTTCCTGTCTGTTAGAGTTTTCAGTCATTTACCTCTTTCATTACCAGGATATTGCATGCGAAGAATGTGGCCATTTTCTATTTTGAATTTGGAAAGGTTTTATTGTAAAGATGTGTTTCCTGCTATGCTTATTGCTATATGCGCAAAGACATGTGAATATATAGTTGCTCCCATTCCTGTGGCTATAATAAATCAAAGTGGGAGAATTGTCACTGTGCCAGTCAAGTAATAGAAAGAAAGATGGCAAAGTTAAGTTTAAGCAAGTTGGAGAGCCCAAGGCAAAAGGAGTTCCCTCTGCTTTTGGAAAAGAGAGGGAGTTTTTGTTGGTCCTCTGGTTAACCATGATGATTTTGTGCAGTAGTGCTGTGCTCATCCTGATCAAATGGCCTTCACACACATATCCCCTGTCGTTGTGCATTTTAAAGACTGAATGATCAAGCAACTCTTCTGAATGCTACATTTCTTGGAAATCTGTTTACATCCTCTTGGTTCAGGTAAGTTCACTGTCCTGGAGAAACTAAAAACCTACTTTATATTTTTCAGACACTGGCTTTTTAAAACATATTTTATTTCTACCTTAGCTGTTGTTTAGAATGTTGTTTAGTTTATCTTAAGGACTGTGAAACCCGACAGGGTTTGGTGCTGAAGTAAATCCCCTGGAGCCAAAGCCCACCATAGTTAGCAGGAGGTGGGTCCTCTCTGGGCAGAGCTGGGGGAACCTGGCTCTGTGGGTTATGGGTGTCCTGTTGTGTGTTTGCCTGTTGGGTTGAATACAACAGCCCAGGAGCCTGTGTCCTGTCCAATTGTAGCATCCCCCAGTAGAGATGCAATGCCTGCTCAGTCTATCCCTTGATATCTTATTCTTCCGTGGCACGCCAGGTAATCCAGTAACATCAAAGCCTCATTCCTGTTAAGGTCTGATGTATATTTCTCATTAATCACCTCTTAGGAATATTACACCTGCTACAAAGGCTTCTTTTATGTATGAAATAATTGAGTCAGGGTTTTTTTTTTTTTTCACTCAAGATAGATAAATGAAATGGAAGCTAGTTAATTGAACTTGAAGCTTTTCTTAGCTGTTCTGTTCAAAGTAACTCCAGCCATTATCAGCACAGCCCAGCAGCTGAGTCTGCAGGGTGACCTGTGGGGAGATAAGGTACCAGTGTGGGTCAAAATCCTGCTGTTCTTAGAGTGCAGACTTGACTCAGCTTTCCTCTACCTCAAAAGCAGACCCAGCCTTCAGGCTCCTCTTCTCTTTGTCTGCAGAAGATGTGTGTATAAACAAATATGTGGGTGTTTATACATAATGGAACAGTTCCAGTGGGAAAGGTGGATGAATCAGAAGATCTGAATTTTGCAAATCAATATCCAGACAGATATATTTGTTGGAGGCAGTTACCCTGCCTGTTAAAACATACCCTGTAGCTTCTGTTACACATAGCTTCTCCTCTGAAGTTGGAAGATGGTGTGTCCCACCCCTGCCCCGCTGATTAGGACTCAGAAAGACCTGCCTTCCATACTTTATGGCTGCTGTGTCTAGGGAAAAGGAAGTTTGCCCATTTGTATCCAGATGAGAATTGTTCCAAACTTTTGTCGTGATGCAAAACTTTTAATATATTAAAAAAAAAATTCCAAAATATTGACTAATTGTGTTTTGGTAAGTGTCATGAGGAAATTCAGTATACATGAAGGACCAGGCATAGCTAATGGTTCTTATGCTCTAATGTTTTCTGTGTGTTATTCAAATACCACTTTCCAGGAGAAGAGTAGTTTGGGTTATATGTGCCACTCTGATTTCAGTTCATGTCTGGTCAGTACTTGGAAGGCTTCAGGGCAGTGTATTTAATGAAGATCAGTGAAATGTGAAATCAGAAAATGAGCTGCTTCAGCTCCTCAGCTGGGGTGGTGGGGAGTGATTTTTTTTTTTCAATTCTCTACCTGTTTTCTGCGTGGCTCTGAAGTGACCAAGGCAGATGCTTGTGCTGACCCCAAAGACCAGACCGGTGTGGGAAGGGACAATGTGACAGGCCTGGATAAGGATGGGGGTGGTGAATGGTTTTTGGTCAGAATTTTGACAGCTTATCTCTAGAGAGACTGTGAGAAGCTTTGCTTCTGGCACCCAGCAATGCCCTCCCTCAGCAGGCAGTGATGTCTGTGTTGGGGTCAGCCTGGGCTTAGCTCCCAAGCCAGCCGCAGAGGATAGACTTCCACAATCCATGACTGCCTCGCCTTTTTTCATGGCTGGATGAAAACAAAAGCCCATCAAGCTTGGATTCTCCTCCTAAACCACTCATAGGCTGCATGTTTTCTACCTTTATTAGTCTCATTTAAATAACAGAAAGATTATTCCTGGCAGTGAGCACAGTTTTTAGTAAATGGCTTTTGCTTTAATGCTTTGTTGAACAAGAAACAACGTAATTATTTGCTTATAGAGCAACATGCATATGTACTGTACTGAATCACTCCTTGTGCTGGTGATGGGTGCAGGTTCATAGCCCATAATTAGTTCTCTGAATACTGATGAAACAGGCAAGTACGTGCAAGAAACAAAATTCCTATGTGGGTTTTGGTAATTTGTTGCATAAAGGCATGACAGAAAAAAAATTGGCAAAAGGCTTTTAAGAATTACTGCTTTATCCTTTTTATGAAAGGATGGATTAAAGCTTTCAAATTAAAAATCATTAAATATTAATAAAGAAGAGAGGCAACAGGAATCATTTTAATTTCCTTCGTTACCATAGTTAATG